TTCTTCAAAAAATCCACCAATTTTTAACTTCTTATTATAGTCTTTGCGTTATAGCATGGTGCGGGTGACAGCTTACACTTTTGGTGTATCGAGAGATTGAACAATGTTAAATCGATTTAAAAAAGGCGATTAACGATACACAAAGCTAATTATTTAATTTTATTTAATTTGAAAATAAAAATCATCTTCTATTTCATGTTGATTGCAACATTCATTGCCTAGCGTTGACTGCACCGGCAGCTTTTTAAGGTAAGAGTGAGTACGAACGCTTTTCGTTATATGTGTATTAGTGATGCCAGTTCCAATGGCCCAAACATAGACTTAGGATATACGTACGCCAGTATATCCTAAATCTATGGGCCCAAATATTGGGACAGAAGTTAAAAATAATCGAGAATTTGGTTTACAAATCTTTTTTTTTTTTTTTTTTTTTTTTTTTTTTTTTTTTTTTTAACGCCATCTAGTCCCAAGCTAAGCAGAGCTTGTGTTATGGGTACTAGACAACTGATAAATTTACTTATATATTTCTAAATACATAAATATTATAGATAAATTACACCCAGACACAGAACAAATGATCGTGCTCATCACACAAACATTTGTCCTGGGTGGGAATCGAACCCACGACCTCCGGCGTAGCAGTCAGGGTCACTAACCACTAGACCAACAGGCCAATCTGATAATATAAAAATAAAAAATAGGTTTTTTATAGCCATTGTGGCCGTCATGAGTTATGATAAAGTCGTCTTTTTGACACAATGCGCAATTTACTTTATAATTTTAATTTTAATTTACTTGTCTTCAACATCAACGTGTTGCCTTTTACTTAATAAAGGATCAACATCTTCTGTTTAAGTGAAAAATACTTTCAAAGAAATTGTTGCGGATATTGGTGAACTAGGATAACATTAGTCTCAGATCAAGGGGCTACTTTCAGATCTGCTCTTTAACTACTGCAAGAGGGAACTAGAGCAGTTAATAAGAGAAAATAAAAATCCAGGTACAATTAATTTTTTCACCATTCATGTTTACTCTTAATATAATTGCTTTATTTTTAATATGTTTTATATTTTTTGATGACCTGATACATATAAGTGGTTATAATATGCTTGTCATATTTGATGCACCACATTTAATCAAAGGAATGCGAAACAATTTTTAACAAAAACATATACAATACTAAGAAAATATTTCTACATGGACATATATTGTAGATGCGTATAAGACAGACTGTGAACATGCAGAAACACAGTTATTACACAAGCTTAATGACGAATATGTTATTACTGATAATAAAAAATGAAGGTATAAAATAATTGTAATTTTATTTCAATTACATGTAATAAACTTATTCTTAATCAAATTCTTTTGGATTATTTGCAGGTTAAGAATTATGTTTGTATATTTAGTAAAACCGTGGCAGGAGCCTTAATTTATACCTCTGCATTTTGTAAGTTATTATATTAATTATTTTATCAGATTTATAGCACCATTAAACTGTAATATTTTATATGGTGAATGATGATTAACAAATACCCTGGTAACAAGGCATTATTTTGTCTTCAAGGGTGATAATGCATTTGCATTTTGATACTTAATCGAGGATTAATGTAGGTGACTGTAGGCCACAGAATTCACTTACTATCAAGAGAAATGGGTGCTTGCCTGTCATGTTTAATTCTAAAAAAACACAAACTTCGTCTGTAACTTAAATATATTGTACAGTGTACCTAATTATATTTCAAATTTTATAATACTTCAAATATTTATTACAGTTCAATATTCGGATGCTCGGCCAGTCAGCAAAATACTGAAAAATACTGCAGAAATAGTATCTTTTATGGATGACCTGTTTGACAGTGTGAATGGAAGTTGGTGATAAATAAAAAAGAAGAGAGAAAGAAGTAAGAGTTGCTGTTACGGAAATATGTAGCCACCATGCATTCAGGCAGCAAGCTTTGTTAAAACTAGAAAATTTAAAATTAATAATAAAAATGGTCATGTATGTACAGTGCCCAGTATAAAGAACTGGATAAGTACCATAAAAAGATTTATGAATTTGTAGTAGTTTTTGTCCAAGAAAAATGTAAATGTTATGAGACCCTGCTATATAAATTCCGATGAAATCTAATTTTTATTCAGTCAAATAAGATTATATAATTGTAGGGACAATAATCCAACTTACCAGAATTTCATAAATGCTTTTAAATCTTTATTTATTACGAGTTTCATTAAATTTCACCACTCATTTGTAATTATGGAGATGATCATCATCATCATCATTACAGCCCTTCACAAGTCCACTGCTGAACATAGGCCTCCCCCAAAGAATGCCACAAAGCACAAGTCACGGTGTTAGTGATGGAGATGATGTTAGTGCACAATTATTAAAAATAAAGAGCCTGTTTAAAGGACATGAAAGGGAAGTAAGTAACGAAAATGGTGAAACTGGTGAATTTTATATTGATACTTATCCATTAATTCTAAATAGGGGGTTAGTTCTTTTCTCGTTCAAAAGCTAAGTATAGTCATTCAGCGGAGAAACGCAGCCTGCGTTCTTGGCGCGATACCGCGGGGAGTAGAACTGTACGATAATTATGTTACTAGTTTTTGTTTTTTTAAAAAATTATAGTTAATAAGCTAAAATGGGATAAAAAAAACAGGTCTAATCCTAAATTTGTAAAGAAAATTATTGTAAAGTTAAAATGAGGACTGTATGATAATTAAGTTATAAGTTTTGGTTTTCTTTAATTATAGTTTTTTCTTAATATTGTATATATTAATAAGTTAATTATTGAATTTGTAATCAAAATTATTGTAAAGTTAAAATGAGGACTGTATGATAATTAAGTTACTAGTTTTAGTTTTTAATAGTGTATATATTAATAAGTTAATTATTAAATTTGTAAACAAAATTATTGTAAAGAAAAATTAATAACTAATAAAAAAAATTCAAAATTTTTTCATTTGTACGTACCTCGTTTTATTTTCAATATAATAAAATTAATTTTGCAAGTGGCTAATTATTTGGGACGTCCTTTGCCTGGTATAGCTGCTTCAAATAAAAAAAGTAATGTCACATATCATTTTGCTACAACCAATCATGGATGCAGAAGTTAAGTCGAGTTTTAGTTCGTGAGATGTCTGATTCGGGTAGAATCTACTAGTTAGTCTGTGGTATAGCAACTGTCCTATACAGGAAACAGGAAGGGAGTTTTGGCGGGAACTAGACCGGCGACGGATCGCTGGTCCTGTATTATTGTTTAAATAATGGTTTGAAGTGGATTTTGATATATAAAAGTGGTACGATTTTGTGTATTAAATATATATAAAATATCAAAACAAAGAAACGTAATTATCATTATGAATCCAGCAGCGCTGGTCTCATTATACATATAATCTAGAGTTAAAGTGGAGCTCATCTTACATTATAACAAGTGTTAGTTAACTAGTTAAGAAATTATAAAGTAACTAATAAACATTATTAATAGGTACATGTGTGTATATGTATTATGTGTGTGTGTGTGTGTGTGTGTCGCGCGCGCGCGCGCGCGCGTGTGTGTGTGTGTATGTGTGTGTGTGTGTGTGTGTGTGTGTGTGTGTGTGTGTGTGTGTTTGTGTGGTTGTGTGTGTGTGTAAGAGTAGAGGTAGGTGTGTATGTGTTAGTGCGTGTGATTTCAATGAATTATGTGAAATATCAGAGGTGGATGTCTAGACAGTGCCAAATAGACAAGGTATGCGATATACAGGAAGAAAATAAAATCATTTTTTATGTGTTACTAAGCCAAGCCTATCAGTGACTGATTTCTTGAAAGATGTATGTCGTAATGCAATAATATCGATATCATTGAAAATATTATTGTATGTTTTGGCCATACGGTGAAGTGGAGAACGAATGCCCGCATTTGTTCGGCAGGATAAGGTTGCAAACAATCTATGCGGACGTGTAGACCTCATTAATGATCGAGGAGGTACGCTATAACAAAGTTTGTTTGATATTTCTATAGAGTCATATCTATTATGAGTAAGATCATGTAATAACATTACTTCAAGTTGTGTGCGTCTAGATTTAAGATCAATTAAATTGTATGTCTTTAGTAACAAATTATACGACAATCGTTTGCGGTGGAATTTAAAATGTATGTATCGAAGATATTTCTTTTGTATCTTTTCAAGCATATAATTGTATTTTTCATAAAGTGGATTCCATATTGATACAGCGTATTCTAGCTGACAACGTATCAATGATTTAAATAAATATAAGAATGTAGAAGTTTGTTTAAACATAACACCTGACCTAATGACGAACCCATACATTCTAAATGCTTCTCTCTATCTACGCATGTGAACTATTAGTGGATACGGTGAAACAAGTGCTCTGATGGTGATGTGATTCTCAAGATAAGGTGTATGTCTGCATAGATGCCTTGAGATACCATCGCCAACTGTCAGCTGTCTGCTGGCTCAAGTTGCCGCCAAAATCTCCCAAGGGCTGCACAATGTGACGCATCAACATATTGTGAAGCAGTGTACTATGAACGAATTTTATATATCGTAACTTCAGGGTCAGAAAGGCTAGAACCCAGAGCCGTAAGAAGAAGAACTATACAGGACGTGGTTGTTGCGTAGTGTTTCTATCGTCAGTTTCTCTATCTAGTCTGTGGTTTCTATATAGTTTATGGTTGTTTGTTACGAAATGAAATTGAATTGAAACGTTAATTTGAAAAATGAATAATTGAAATTGTTGTGTTGTTCTTGTTGCCTTGCCCGACAGCCTGACATTTATTAATTACTATTTCCTTTACGATTATTTTAAGTAGATTTAGTATTTCTTATTAGTTGTTAGGAGTAAATAGTAACAATGATTATTATGCATGTTCCTGAAATCCAGAAGAATTATTGAGTTTGTAACTGTACAGCTACAGATGCTATTTTCTTTGAACATATGCAGGTACTAAAATTAAAGTGATAAACGAAATAGACATTTCAATTTCAAGACTATGGAAGGAAATTGGAATTATGAAATCAACGTTCGAAACATCGACACATGTTGTTTGGCTGCTTTCGAATTACACGATAATGAATTGCGGGAATGTATTTTGAAAACAATAGAAGAGAGTTTTCTAACTGTTAAATATAATCACAGTAATGCGACCCAAAACTATGAAGACGATATAAGAAGTTTGATGGAAAAAAATAAAACTTTGCGACAAGAAATTGACATAAAAGTTAAAGATCTACAACGGCAACAAGCCCAATATGAAACTTTTAAACATGGTTTGTTAAAACTAATATAATCTTAAAACTGACTAACATAAATAGCGATATTAGACAATAACTTATTGAAGTGAAACTTAAATCAGTCACATTTTCTTGTAACATTTACTGCCATGGCTGTATGTGTATATTACTATTATTTAACCTAGTCATGTAACATATAAAATAAAATAAAATAAAAATGGTATGTTGTAAATAAGTTTCATTTCATATGTGTGTATACAATTACACACATTTTTTTTTATATATATCTAATTGCTTTGAAGTACTTATATGTAATGTATTATATTCTTATTGCATATGTCTATTAAGGACTTTCACATTTATGGTGTAGTAGTATAGCTGTTGGTGTTCTGCTTACAACCTTTGTAATGTATCTCAAAAAAAAATCAGTGCTAGTGCTAATGTATGAGAGTTGTGTCATCTATAGGCACATTTATAGCATGGTCACATATCTTTGACTGCTTGACTAGTATGTTTTTTACTATTACCAAAAGTAAGACTATTCCACCTGATGGTATGTGATGGTGCAGCTGAAGATGGTGAAGTGCACTAACTTAAGAAAAATCCATTCACTCTTGCCTTTACGATACCCACATTGTAATCAGATGGAAAGACAGTTGTTGGCGAATTATTCAACTCCTTTGTACTGTGTTGTGCTTCATCTTGTCATGAGTAATGTGTATTCATGACAAATGATGAAGTAAACTGTTGGGTTTGCTATAGATGTATGGTACTTGATTTAATTGCAGTGGACTTGTGAAGGGCTGTAATGATATGATGATAAGCAACAATCTGCCCTGGCTTTGGCTAGATCTCGGCAATAACGCCACCTACCGGGTCCAATTGTGAGTCATTTAGATCATCCAGGGACCCACTTAAACACACAAAAAATTTCATCAAAATCGGTCCAACCATTTTTGAGTTTTTGCTGACTAATCGACAGCAATTTTTATATATAGAGATTTTGACTCTATAAAACGAGTGAAGATATAAAATCCCCAGATTGGACATCAGCAGCATCAAAAGTACAAAACATTTGATAATGTGATTACCTGTCTAACGTGAAGGTTAGGACAGATTTTCTCTTGTCAAGCTAGCCAGCTGTGAACTATTTTATGGGCTAATGAGAAAGATGAGGTTTTCTTTGAAAGACTTGAAATTAGGGTATATAATTTTTCAGGCTGAACCAAGTAGACGTGGTAAAAATATAATAAAATTTTACATTTTAAATTGATAAAGTAAACTGTTGGGTTGGCTATAGACGTCTGAAACTTGATTTTAATTATATTTTCAGTTTAGGAGGCTTGTTAAGCTTAAACCTCTAACAGTGTTTTTGGATGTCGGAAATCCATTTTGAATTAATAACTATAAAAATAAATTTCACTAAAAAATGCATATAACAAAATGCAAATATTTCAGTTTGGTTTAGTATTATGAAGTACTTTTATCTATATTAAAATAATATATATATTAAAAAATGCATATATTTTGTTAGGGTTAAGCTGGAACCCTTTACACTGTTTTTTGGATTTTGGAAATGTGTTTTGAATTAATTATGATAAAAGATTATATAAAGAAATCATTACTCATGAACTATACTTTTTCACAAGGCGGGAAGGGTAGGGGAGGCTTCCCCTGAAGTTCAGCCCCTCCTTGTAAGGAGGATTTTTCTTAATGGCATTGCTTGGCAGGTGGTTTAGCGGTAAGAGTTAAGACATCCATGATGCTTATTGTTATGCTACTATGGTTTTCAGATCAGAAACTATTGTCTCAAGAAATTAAAGAAAGACATGAAGCATTTTTGATGGCAAAGAAGTATTATAAAAAGTTTTTGAAAATATATTACACTATTGAAACAAAAAATGATGACAAAATGACCATTTTTGCACAATTTTTTACTGAGGCTAAAAAAGATTCTGAGAATTATAGTGTACGTCTTTTAAGGAATAAGGAAAACGCAACTTATGAATGTAAGTATACATTTTGAAACTATTTCAATAAATTTTAATTTGAAATAAAATACAAAACTATCTTACATTTTTAAGGTACCTACTGTTAAATTCCTTGTTTTACAAAATTTCTGTCATACTTATTTCTGTATGTTTAAACTTTTTTGTCTTGCATATGTTAAAAAAATGGTATCAATAATTACCTACAACTATTCATGGCAGTTTTCATTCTAATTAACTAGTTTTTTTTTAATAGTTTTTTGCAATAAGTGTAGTCAATAGTGTGGACAGAAGACATTCTACAACCCAACCTTTTCTTAAATAAGTTTACACAACATGATGAATAATTGGTGTCAAAATTAAGAAATAGACATGTGTATCAATAGATACATCAATTACAGCTTATAAAAGTCTACTGTTGAACATAGGCCTCCCCCATAGATTGCCTCATAGTGGGGATTTTGGCATAGTTGCCACACTTGGCAGGTGGGTTGGCAACTGCAGTTTTTTATTATTTTGAATTGTTTTTCAGGAAGATGCTGCTGCCCATCACCTGTTTCAATTTCCATCTGTTGCCTCTTACAACACCAACGGCATGATATAGGGTGGTGGGTATTCTTACAATGGTAAAAAAAAATATAGAAAAGACATAAAAAAAATGGTACACAAGATATAAAAAATCAAAAGGGACAAGCAGGGAGAAATTAACATCCCTTTTCACCATTGGACATCCAGATTGTCGGCGAGTCTCTACCACTTTGATGTTGATATACCACTCATTCATATAATAATGTTTGCTTCAGTCTTCGTAATGCCTTTAGCAAAGGATTGGAATGATTACTTGTTATGTCTTTCTGTCCAATTACAATCTGGGTATCTTCAAAACAGGTGTACTTTTTTTAGTGAAGATTTAATTAAAAAATATCTCAAATATTCTGTCCTTTTTATCTTTTATATTCAAAATGAGTTGCAATGCATTATTTTAACTGATTGTCATTCATAAATATCTAAAGCCTACTATATAACGGTACATCATTCTATATATATTTGAACTTATGTTTAAAATTTGGCTACTCTTTGAAAAATAACCCTGTATATGTAGAGATATTAGTCAAGCCCTGGCTTATAATTAGTAAAAATAAAACAGCTTTCACATACCTTTTTTATTATGTAGTGCTATGTAATGTCACCTTTGTAATATTAATGTCCTCTAGACCAATTTTCAGTTAGGCAACCAGTCCCAACTGAGATTAGTCATTTGGATAGGAGAGGATTGTAGTGTAAGATTGGGTGTGCAAGCACAGGTGCACCCTCTATTTCTTAATTTTTACAATCTGATGTGATGGCTATCCAACACAACTATAGAGTTCACGCACAGCACCAGGGTTTTCTGAGGCAATGGGATAAAACATTACCAACTTCCTGAATTTGAGAACTTATTGTAAGAAAAACCCAATAAATGATTTGGGCTCTATTTAACATAGGATTCAAACCTGGGACCACATGATCACCAGTCATGCTTATGTTCACTAGACCTACAAGGCACTGCATACATTTAAAAATTGGGCAGTCAATGGGATAGGCATACATTCAGCAGTCAGATCACATTTTTTTTTTTTTTTTTTTTTATAGGAGAGGGGGCAAACGAGCATGCGGCTCACCTGATGGTAAGTGACTACCGCCGCCCACGAACAACCGCAACACCAGGGGAATTGCAGATGCGTTGCCGGCCTTTTAAAAAGGAGTAGGCTCTTTTCTTGAAGGTCCCTAAGTCGTATCGGTCCGGAAAAATCGCTGATGGTAATCGATTCCACAAAGAAGTCGTGCGAGGAAGAAAACATCTTCTAAATCGCACAGTGGTGGACCGCCAATCATCCAGATGGTGTGGATGGTATCGGGAGTTCTGCCGCGATGTGCGTTCATGAAATTTGGCGGCTGGGATTAATCCGAACAATTCCTCAGAGCACTCCCCATGGTAGATGCGAAAGAAAATGCAAAGAGATGCAACATCTCTTCGCAGTGCCAATGAATCGAGCCGATCGGAAAGGGCTCGGTCGTCGACGATTCGAGCCGCTCTGCGCTGGATGCGGTCAAGTGGAAGGAGCTGGCACTGGGGAGCCCCTGCCCAGAGATGGGAACAGTATTCCATGTGAGGCCGAACCTGCGCCTTGTAAAGTTGCAGGCGGTGTGCCGGCATGAAATACTGTCCCGCTCTGCTGAGCACGCCAAGCTTTTTAGAGGCCAATTTGGCCTTCTCTTCCAAGTGACCACGAAACTGCACGTCACTCGATATGTCGACTCCGAGGATACCGATACTGGCTGAGGCAAGAAGGGGAGTGCCTTGAAACTGAGGAGATACGACAAAGGGGTTCTTTTTAGCGGTAAACGCGCAAACTTGTGTCTTCTGAGGATTAAACTGGACTAGATTTAGTCGCCCCCAATCCGAGACTTTGTCCAGCAAAGACTCGACTTCAGACACAAGTTTGTTCCGGTACTCGGCGACGTTTTCCCGAGAAATATTGGCCCGGCCGGTGTATAGAGCATCACCAGTGCTGTCATCCGCATAGCAATGAATGTTACCAGTTAGCAACATATCATTGATATGCAGAAGAAACAGCGTTGGTGATAGCACACAGCCTTGTGGAACACCAGCGTTAATAGGCTTGTAGTCAGAACATGCACCGTCTACAACGACCTTGATGCTCCGATCTGCAAGGAAGCTGGTGATCCAATTGCACAATTTCTCGGGAAGCCCATAGGAAGGGAGCTTCGAAAGAAGCGCTTTGTGCCAAACCCGATCGAAGGCCTTCGCAATGTCCAGACTAACGGCCAATGCCTCCCCCTTGGACTCTACTGCCTCCGCCCATCTATGGGTCAGGTAGACTAGAAGATCACCAGCTGATCGACCCCGACGAAAACCGTATTGGCGGTCACTGATCAGCTGGTGATCCTCAAGGTACCGGATGAGCTGGCAGTAAATAATGGATTCCATTATTTTGGAGAACAAGGAGGTGATCGCGATAGGCCTATAGTTGGACGGGTCTGTCAGTCATATCACTGTCTTATTCAATTATCTTTTTTATTGTATGTATTATACAGTATGTACATGTATTTACCATAAAAATTATATTTTTTTTTCAGTACTCTCTACAAATCCTACATTAGAAAACTTTAAGGAGATCCAAAGAAAATTAAAAGAATCTAATGATATTCCTGGGGCCTTATGTTGTATAAGACAATCTTTTCTTAATGTAAAAGCATTAAAGAAACATTAAACATATTTTTAAGATGTTTCAAAATGATGTGATGTAATAATGTTTTGTAATAAAAATAAGTATACAGTTAAAATAATATATTATTGATAAGTTAAATTAATAAATATAATATTGCTAAGTATAAAGTTTGTAAACCATCGCAACCTTTTTTGTCTATTTTATGCTATACTGTTTATAATGCACGCAGCCTGGGGACTGAGGAGAAGATCCTGGAGCTGGAAGAAGAGATTGATAAGTTACGCTGGGATATTTTAGGATTATCTGAGGTCCGAAGGGGGACACGGTAATCCTCGAATCCGGCAACTTATTCTTTCACCGGGAGGGCGACCATCTGTCCCAAGGAAGTGTCGGATTTATCGTCCACAAGCCTCGTTAACAACGGTAAAGATTAGGAGTGCACGATGAGGGTTGCGTACCTTATACTCAAAATCACCAAACGGTATTCGCTGGAGGTCATACAGGTTTATGCAACAACCCCGACACATCCGAATAAGGAGGTGGAGGAAATGTATGAGGTTATCTCTAGAGCCATGCATTCTTCCAAAACCCACTATACTGTGTTAATGGGGAGATTTGAACGCAAAACTAGGCACAAGAAAGAATGTTGAGCTGAAAGTAGGGAAATTTGGAATAGAGCAATGGAACCCAAGGGGCCAGTAGCTGGCCGACTATATAGCGTAAAAGGGACTCTTTATAATGAACACTTTCTTCCAAAGTGGCCCCATAGAAAGGGGACCTGGTCTGGATGGTTCGACAAAAAATTAGATTCATTCATTATGACTACCAGACGGCAACTGTTCAGTGATGTCTCAGTGATCGTAAGGGTGAAAACAGGCAGCGATCGCCGAATGTTGAGAGGCACACTGAACCTAAACGTTAAGTTGAATAGGTTTAGAACAATGGATGAGCATGATTAACGTTTTGTTATACGATATAAGACTTGTTTTCTCCTTAATGTTTGTGTGGCATATGGTAATATTAAAGAATAACAAACTTCGAGTCAAATTTACTTTCACTTAGACTCATAATAGCTCGTTTTAAAGGAATACTTCTATCAGCTAGATTCCTCTGGAAATTACCACCACAGGCTTAGTCCTGCGCTCTTAACTATACATCCTCTACACTCATGATCTGGACAGATCCGTGAATCGTTTATGCCATGTCCTCCAGTATGCAGATGACCTTTATTTGTTACTGAAAACTCTTTCGCCGTAGCTATTATATCTTCCGTGTATCCTGTTATGTTGGCGGATACGGAGCGCAGGGGACTCGTACACTCAACGGCTGTCTATGTACTGCTTTAACCCTATATAACTAAACTATCCTGCAAGTGACGTTGTTACTAAACATCGTAAAAAATACGTGGAAATAAAACAGAATAAATTTACGAATTATAAACTAATTATTTTAGAATTTACAGTTACATTCTTTGGGTTTAAGAGATAACATAATAATGAAAATAGTACAGATTTTTTTCTCTAAACAGTTGAAACACATATTCAGGTTGTACGCCACACATTTCATGCAAAAGTTAGTTGTCATTTTTCTAGCCTTAGACGGATGCAAGGCAAATGTTTTTCTAGAATTTGATTCTTGTATATTTGCTACTTTAGAAATAGTTTCAATACCTAAGAGACCTTTTATGAACTCTTTGATATGTCGCCGCGATACTGGATTAGTCTGACTTTTTTGATTCGATTTCCACGTTGATATATTTGACTACTTCTAGCATTTTATCGCTAAGAAATAAAGATAGCGTCTCACACGGTTTCAAGAAATACCTTGAATAACGTGCCTCACCTTGAGGCCTCTCAACAAAGCGTGTGATATTTGTGGAAGTTGCTCGCGTAGGTACCTTAGGTACTCAAAAATATTCGAGACTTAGTTCAAACAGAATTGTGAAGAAGAAGTACAAGTGTACACCACATGTTGAGACTTGCAAAGTGCCGCCCGTGGGCCCGCTCGTCCGGGATGCTTATTTAGACCTGCCTCACCGAGTTTGGTGACCTGATCGTACTTGATACCTGCGTCGTAGCAGGTTTTGGAGGCGGGTGAATTGAGCCTTGTCTCTGAGAAAGAAAGGGGGCGAAACCTGCTTTTTGGCCAGGGTTGGAGCGCAGCGAGAGGCTGACTTGGACGGCGGGGGGATGTCTAGTGACATTAGGGGCGCCGAGGCAGCGGCGGGAACTGCGGGGTTTGAGGCAGCGTCGGGGCCTGCAGTGGTGAGGGCGGCGGCGGCAGGAGCTACCGGGATGGGGGGGGGGGGGTGCAATTCTTCGCTGCGCGCTTTGATGTCACTGTTGTGACCGATGATTCTCCAGTTCCGTTGGAGGCAGACAACTCCGAGTAACCAATCTTAAAACTAAGGACATCAAAGGCCTTTCCATCCAAAAGTTTTCTCTTCTTCGTAGCGACAGACCTGACCGCACACAAGAAGACATATCCCTACTCCGCAGCTTACCAACATGGAAGCCACGGTATGCAGGCTAGGCATGACTAGACATCAGTCCATCGTTATAGCCTCCTGCTACATCCCCAGTGGAATCCTCCCCCTCAAAAAAGATTTTGAGGTTATCTTATCATTAGGCAACTCAATCATTACGTTTGGAGATTTTAACTCCAAGCATACTGAATGGACCTGCCTTTCTACTTTGCAGAGTGGCAAGGAACTGCTTGATATCACGCAGTCTCTTGACCTTACCTTTCACAGTCCCCTCGGTGTCACTCACTATCCCGACAACACCGACCACGCTCCCGACGTGCTAGATTTTGCGCTAGTTAAAGGACTTTAACGTCAGGGCAATCGAGACTCTAGACGATCTAGGATCCGACCACCGACCGGTCTCCTTCATTCTTGGCCATCAGCCACCTCCCTCAACCGAAATTCGAGACCTCAAAAAGAGTAATCTCATGGAGAATATCTCTCCCTCTCCTAAAGCGTACTATCAGATGGCGAGAGCCCTCCGCATAGACGCTATCACCCACACTCGCCCTCTCTCCCGTCCCGACTGTACGGTTGCCTTCGAGGACGAGGAAAAGGCTTAGTGCTTTGCAGACAGCATTGCCGCACAATGCTCTCCTAGCTCTCAATCCACTGACCCCTCCCACATCCAGACTGGAGGATGAGGTCCGCCGCCGGAACTCACCCCCCCCCCACAGCCTCTGACCCTATCACTGTGTCCAATGATGAGATCTCATTCCTCATCAAAGGACTGAAGCCAAAAAAACCTCCGGGCGCGGATGGACATCTCCAACCAAGCCCTTAAACATTTTTCTGAGCAGTTGTTTACCCTTTTAGCGATTATCTTCAACGCCTGCTTCAACCTTAGTTATTTTTCCACCACGTGGAAAGAGGCAAATGCCATTGATATCCCCAAGCTAGGAAAACCTCACAAACTCCCCTCCAGTCACTGTCCCATTAGCTTCCTAAAGGCCATGGGCAAACTTTGAACAAGTCATCTTTACTCGCATGAGGCTCCATCTGTTTCCCACAGACGGTGACCCTCTTGTCATCCCCCACCAATTTGGTTTCTGAGCGAAACATTCTTGTCCCCAACAAGTTCACCGTATTGTGGAATATATCCTCAGCGGTTTCTATCATCGTCATAAGACCATCGCGGTCTTTTTCGACATTGCAAAAGCTTTTGATAGAGTCTGGCACGAAGGCCTTATCTACAAACTCTACAGAATAGGCCTCCCTGATCGTCTTGTTCGTCTCGTGGCCTTTTACCTGAAGGATCGTACCTTTCGTTTTAGACACGAAGGCACGCTATCCTCTCAGCGCCCCATCAAATGCGGTTTTTCTCAGGACTCAGTGCTTGCCCCTCCTATATATCCTGTTCACCAACGACATTCCCATGCCGTCGAAAGGTGTTCAGCTCTCCCTCTTTGCAGACGACACTGCACTCTACTGTAAAGGTATCTCACTACCTTTCATACGGAACAAGATCCAAAAGTCAGTTGATGACTTAGGAGCTTGGTTCCAGAGATGGCGCATCGATGTGAACCCGGAGAAGAGCTCCGCCATTCACTTCGATCATAAACGACGCCGCCTCACTACCACTCCACCAATCCATATACTAGGGACCCCTGTCCCCTGGGATACGACCGCCAAATATTTAGGTGTCACCCTTGACACCAGGCTCACCTTCGGGCCCCCTGTCAAAAAAGTAACCCGCAACGCACGTTTTTACCTGAGTAGGCTCAACAGTATGCTGGACCGACACAGTAAAATGTCCCTCCGCAACAAGCGAACCTTTTATACGATCTGCATACAACCAGTCATGAATTACGCGGGCCCCATATTTGCCCATGCTAATCCCAAAATCATTAACGAACTCGAAATAGTTCAAAAACCTCTTCTCTCGTCAAGCTACGAACGCACCCTGGTACGTCTGTAACGCCGACCTCCATCGAGACTTAGAGCTCCCCGCAGTCCAGCAGTTTCTGAAAACACTCTCTGAGAACTTCTTCAATGCCTCAGTCTCACTCTAATCATTTCATTCGTGATGCAGCTTCCTATGCATCCCCACTCCCCTCTCGCTATCGAGTCCGAAGACCGAGAAACTCTCTCGGACCCGCCAAACAAGCTTTCGGCCGACCTGAACTGCCTCCTGGCGGCTCAGGCCGACTCTTCTTAATTTGCCTTAGTTAGGCTCCCCCTCAATGGCACGTCGCCGCCTGCGCCCCGTTTTCCCTAAAGAAGGTCGCTTCCGATTCGGCAGAAAGGCCTCATAAGCCAGCCCTTTTCAGTTGCTTAGGGCGCAAAAAAAACGTTACTCGTTTCCGGTTATAAAAGTGTGACTGAGTGAATCGATGTCAGTGTTAGCAGTGCCGAAAAAAGTATCTGTCTATTTGTTTTACTATTTAAGCGTAGTAAGTAGTTATTTAGTAAAAATTAAATACTAGAGATTATTCAAAACTTCTATATAAGAACAAAAAGCCAGGGAAGATTAAACTTTAGGTCCCTAGGTACTTTTCTGTTTAAAAATATTTATTTA